GTGTTGATTAGAATAATGCAATTATGGATATTTAAATAAATGATGAATCTAGTTAATAATCTACGCTATTTCCCAATCCATATTACCATGGCACATTCTATTTTTGAACTTTCTATCGCGGCATCGTTAATTTTCAAGTTAAAAGAAACGTGATAATAGTTAAATATTAATTTTTCGTTTAAAATAATGTGACGTACGTTCGCAAATTCGAAATAAGTATAAATGTACGAAGTTTACGTGTTGGCACACACTTTGCAGGATATAGGCACGCGTATGAATGAAACAATGCGGTCATAAATATAGAGGTATGCGCGTGAATCATCGATAGGGTAGGACCGTTGGCGGAATGGTACGGTCACCGTTTTGCTGTACACGCATCCGGTATCCGGTTCGAGCACGATGTCAGCGGTCGATGCCAATGAACCGTGATCGAATTCCGATTTCAATCGCCGGTCTCTGTGCGAGTAACGTTCGCTTTCTTGCAGAATGTTTCAATTGCAAAACGGTATATCGACACGCATTAAAATTATTTCTTGAGATCGATCGTTGTATATAGCGAGAAAAAACAGGTTTATATAGACAAAAAACGCATTAAAATCATTTCCTGAGATCGATTGTTGTATATAACGACAAAAAACAGATTCATTTGAAACTTCCAATTTTAATCAGCGTTAATTTTATACAAGAATTATGTATGAATGAACCAATCGACTTCTCATGTTCAAGTAACTTTTAATTAAAAATAAAATTAATATAAGTATCAAAGAGAGAGAATCTTGTTAGAAAATTTTTCAGATAAATTATTTCAAATATTTAATCAAAATTTGCTTTAATACAAATCTGTTTTAAAAGATTACGGGTATTAAATAATTTAATAAATTCAATATTACGGTGTTAAATGATTTAATATTTAATATATTACTGTATAGAAATATAATAAATTTCTGGAACGACTCTGATTCCATGAATTTTTATAGAAAGACTCATCTACTCAAGAATTTCTTAAAGGGCTTTTACATCGGAAAATCATGTAGAAGAGATCGAAATAGTTAAAATAATCAGTTTTTTCCACCGATTCTCAGAGGAGGGTAACAGTCTATTTTAATCAGTGCTTCATCGGAGTCTAAATCTAAGCTGCTATTCTCGGCACATGTTTTACTACAATAAACGTGACAAAGGCATTTAGCTATCGCCATCTGTTGGAGAATGCAACGGGCTCCGACTTTTCATTCAGTACATTCGATGCAACAGGACCGATATAGACAATATTGACAACACACATATATTAACTATGCGGTAATTCTACTTAAAAAATATCGCCTTTCTTAAACTGTGCATTCTTTTTATGCTTTATTACGCAAAAACATATGTACCTTTCTGGCAACTTAAAAATCGTAAATATTACCTTAACGATTTTTCATTGAAAATATCTACTTTTTAAATAAAATCTAATATTTTTTTAAAATTACTCACCCTTCTCCCTGAAGTCTATTATCTGCTACTTGCATTGGTAACGGTGCAGTTAGCTGCCTGACTAATTCGTCCCTTTCCCTTTCCTTTTGTTGGATAGTCTCCTGCAATCTTTGCTTCTGTTTCTGGTATTCTTTAAATAGGCCACCGTTGTAACTTTGTTCGAGGTTGTCGTTAGGAGCCACCATCGCTCTAATCGGTATTACGGATGGGTCTGTAATTTTGGCTGCGATTCCCGTGGGCTTTTCCGTCAAGGAGTCCCTTCTGGAACTCCTGGCAGTCGAAGGCGCCGGCGATTCCCTTCCAGCCACTCTGCGTTCCGGCGTGGATGTCGCTGAAGGATCCACTTCCACACCTATAAAAAAAAACATAAAAATTACGGGTTACTTCTAAAATAATTTAGGAACATTCTATGTAATATGGAACTACTTTAACAAATCCGTCGTAGAAATAATAAAATCAATCAAAGCTAATTAAATTAATTGAAATAATTAAACATGTGTTATTAAGTACATGCTATAAAATATCGATTAAAAATCTAATCGTTCTTTTTCATTCAAATGTTTTGTATGATATGTGCACGTAGCGATATTATTTAAAAACTTTTAAATGTACTTCTAAAATGTGTTTTATAATCTTACCGTCGGGGCTTTTGGAGTGCCCTCGAGTTCTCGGCGGAGCCTTAGGTTGAGCATTCATTGTGGTCTCTTGTATCGAGGGTAGTTGTTGAAACTCGGTGTAATTCGAGCTAAGGAAGACATCACCCTCGTTTTCGAAGAGCCTATCGACGCTAGTATTCATCAACTTGTTGTTCTTGAAACCGGTTAAGTGGAAGCTAGCGAATGATGACCTGGACATCGGGTTTACGTCGCCGACGGATAGCGCCATAAGTGCCGCCGATGGTATGGATGTGTTCTTGGGACTCCTGGGCCCGAGGCCAGCCTCCAGAGCCGGCACTAAACTACGAGACATCATATCCGCGGCGGATCTCGGCCTGGTAAACGGCATGGCGCTGTGCGGAAACGTCTTCGGTTTGATCGGCGTTATTAGCATATGTTCCGTCCACGAAGTCTCCAAGGAGGGCCTCTCCAGGCGCTCCACGTCGACGTTCAGGGTTCTTTGTGCAAAGGGTACAGCGAACGTCTCGGGAGGTATACTTTGAAGCCATGAGAGCAAACTTAAGTCCGAATCGCTGAACCCCACGGACCCATCCAGTAGCCTCGAGAAACTCATCTCTACCTATAACATAAGAGAGAATGCACGGAATTAAAAATCGAAACAAAATTAAATTATAAAATGTAAATACTATAAATAATATAAATAAAAGTATAAATACTATCAAAAATAAAAATAATGTATAAATATATGTAAATATTATAAATATATATGTATAAATAAACAATTTAAAATTGTATCCAGTAATTATATAGTTTACGTGTATACAGAAAAAATAAAAGTAACTTTAATTTTAATTTTGATATAATTTTGGCAAATTTTATCCTTTAATAAAATAAAACAAAAAGAAAAGATAAAGAGACAAAAATCACCTGTTCGCTCTCTTTCGACCCGGTAGCTTTCGCTTGGCAATAATTTACGCAGGATTCGTACAAGATGCCTTTGATGACGAGCTGAATGAGCCGATCGTTTTTCGCTGAGGTGATCGGATGCGCGGGGTCGGCGCTCTTCCTGTCGCCCGGCAGGAACTTCTCTACCAAAGGGTGAACCTCGCGGAAACATTGCACCCTCGCGTTACTGGGATTCCAGTCCTTGTACTGCAGATGATCCGTCAGCCGCGGCAGAGTAAGCAACAGGCACAGGCTGCTGTATTCTTCCTTAGAAGGCGCGACCTTTTCGAGGTCGCTCAACACCTTGACAACCTCCTCCACGGCGTTGTCGACGCTGCCGTTCGTCCCGGCGGCGATAACGTTCGCCTCGGACTTGATGCACAGCAGCTCGACATATTTGTGGCGCAGAATCGAGTACGTGAACTTCCTCATGTCGAAATCCGACAGCGCTTCCAGCGGCTGGATGAACTCGAGCACGTCGTCCCATTGTCCGTCGAGGATCAGCTGGCGCAGGAACAGCACGTCGTCGCTGTACTGGCCGTTTATCACGCCGGTCTCGCGCTCGAGCGAGAGCTGCGAGATGTGAAGGTCGCGGCTGTGGAGAAACTCCAAGGTCAGTCGCACCACGTCCTCCTCGCGCAGCGTCAGGTGCGCCGCCGGCATCACGTACCGAATACGCAACCTGGATCATTTCATTAAAAACATAAATTGGCGTATAGTGCCTCGCATCTTCATGCACTGCACGAAGTCATTGAGATATACTTCGTAAAAAAATTTCTACCAAAGGATAAATGAAAAATTTTGATGCTGACATTGAGTTTTGATTATTCATGGAACGTATAATCGTCTCTTCTGATAATGAAATCATTTTACAAAAATACATTTCAGTTTCTGCAAAATAATTGTGATCATTCGAATTGTAATAGGTTTGTCGAGATACAGAGAAAATTTGAAAAATTCATAATATAACGTTTACGATTTTATAATCGGATATGACATTATGGAAAAACATGTAATTGTCGCACACTTAAAACTTAGGAAGAGTCATATTAACACGAGAAAACTAAAATGATGTAAAATTAATATATCAAATTCGTTTAACTATCAAATTAAAACTTTTGATTTTTAACTTCTTATCTTAAAAAAAAAACTTTGCACAAACTAGGCAATACGTATTACGAAAGTGATATTTCATTCTGAGAAATATTGAAGTTGCCGCAAATATTACTAGCAATTTAACACGATATTACCGTATCGCTAGTAGATATTACTATGTATATAATATCTGAGAATTATGAAATTGCTTCAGGAATTTACCTCCTGGTTTCAAGTTTCGCGTGCTATAATATAATGCGGGAAAATGAAACGCAGACGAAAGATTGCTTAGCGATATTTATATTCAGAGTGGCCCGCAGCGAGAGAGAAGTCTAGGTTCTAGATCAACGTCTCGGCATCCAGCTACCCACTTATGCGATAATCAGGGCACGTCTGTGGATGCGCTGGCCCCGTAGTGCAACGAACTTTCGAGGAAGTGCTATTTCGTGCATTTCATACATGCATATCATTACTGAGTTTCGTAATCGTGCATTTTACAACAAACGAAAGTCCGCGCGCGAATAGAATTGCGTTCACACGAATCCTGATGATCGTTTTACAGTTCTTTTACGAGCTGGCTGTTAGGCAAATGCGTGGTGTTTACGACATAACGCAAGTACACGCTTTTTTTGCCAAATATTGCCCAATAAATGTAGCAATTTGCATCAACCATATTTTCAGAATACATAAACATTAAACATACTTTTTTTTAATTTTAATGACGTCTGTACTTTTTGTCCAAGGACGGTTTCACAATGTGCAAACTGATAAAATCATGGAATACGCAAAATTCAAGCTAACGTCAGCGATTCTTTTTGGGTTATTTAAGTGGGTTATTCAAGTTAGTGGGTTATTTAAGTTAGTGACAGTGAAGAATCGCGTTAGTCTCAAGTGAGACTGTAAGAGCTACACGACGTTTTCGCATCAAGGATTAGTGAGTAAACTTTTCTGATATATATTTCACATTTATTTAATATTTTTATGAGTCTTTGTCTTTAACTTCTGGAACTAGAACTTTTCAATAATTAAACCATATATCATAACCGTTAGACAGAATATTTGTAGAAATTAATACAATAAAATATTTATTCCTCTTTTGTATTTTTCCTCTAAATCGATTTTTACATTACCACAATAATATTCCATAGTAAATCCATAAATATATCATCTTTCTTTCGATAATTTTAAATTGTTAAATAAATAATTTAGGGAACAAATTTCTGCCATATCAAACATCTGTTCGAAAACAATCTGCTTAAAGTTTCCTTAATTATTTCAGTTCTTAGCAGTGACAATCTCGTTAGCAAATATCGCACTTGCCGGCGTCCTCGTTCAACCCGGCTATGAACATCAATACGATAGCAATCCACGCTATTTGCAAGATCAGTCTGCTCCGCAGTACACAGTCTCCGACTGAACAGTATCGCGCGGAACAATTACCGGACCAGGAATCGACGCGATATTTTTCGGGAGTTAAGACGGTAAATATTCCAAAGAACAAGAATAAAATTTGACATCTTTAAGTAATAACCTAACGCTTATCTTGAAAGACGCGTAACTCCAGCTTATGTACGAGTTCCAATGAGACGGGAATATAAATAATTGTACCGATATTAATACACTTCAATGTAAACTGTTCAATTACAGATAAGTGGGTGGAGAACCGTCAGATCAAGAATGACTATATAACAAATCCATGTTCATTCGGTTTTTATATGCACCCTGGACGTACATACAACATTCCCAACACAATGCAAAGTATGATTCACCAGTTTTATACAAATCTTAAGTCTTCAACCGCACAAGACGAGGTATGTTGCGACGATTTATTTCAATATAGACTTTTTATGAGATTCGCGCAATATATATATCTTCGAGTTCGTGGAAATCGGACGATAATGATTATAGTAGTAAATTCGTTTTATGTGCTTAAGAATTTTTATTTTTGTCCGATCTATAGAAATTTAATTGATTATTACGACCGAAACGATATGGATTTCTTGCGTAAATATTTTTCAATTAAAATCTAAAAATTTAATTAAGTTTTTCAATTTAAATCTGATTAATGAAATACGCTATGTGCACATATTTGTCGCATAAGACAAATTGATAGGTGTTACATATAGGTGTTTCAAATTAAATATTACATTTAAAATTATCAAATTAAATAAAATTTGAACTTTCAATAAAATGATAGTAATATAAATAAAATATCGCGAATGTTAAGTTAATGAAACATTATACTTATACCATTTTCTCAGATCAAGTAATAGTATCCTCATATTATCATGAGCATTTACCAAAGATTGAGGATGGCCGACATACACCGAGGGCCGTACATATCCATGACCTGCTCCTATTCTTGCGAAATGCACATGGTGTGACCTCGGTAAATAATAGTGGTACGGTGGACGATGTGGATGCTTAACACATGTGAACGACCATCGGCTTGGTTCGATTCATATAGGGATACACCGCCTAAACTCCCGAAAGATATCGCATCGATTCCTGGCTCGGTAATTGTTCCGCGCGATATTGTTCAGTTGGAGATTGTATCCAGTGCTGCGGAACAGACTGATCTTTCAAATAGCGTGGATTACTATCATATTGATGTTGGTAGCCTGCAGATTGAACTAGGCTATCCTCAATACGATAGTAATCCACGCAAGAACGTCGGCAAGTGCGATACTTGCTAACGAGATTGTCACTGCTAAGAACTGAAAAAGAATGATAACGAGAAATTATCGGCAACCAATGATTCGCAAATCGAGGCCAATGCAGGGGGAATAGAAAACTACTTATTTCAGCTCAAGACGAACATCGAAATGTTCAACGCAATAACTTCAACCGATCCAAACAAATTGAATCTAAACTATAACTTAAAATTGTATATTTGCGATATGTTGGTCTAGTAATATTAGTAATAGTACAATAAATGTAAATTGAATAATAATAAGTGTATAATAAGTTTAACGTCTTATAAGTTAGCGGAACAAAGTGATCAAAATCGGATTTTTATACGGCAGATTTATTATCATAGGTTGGCAGAAAAGTTATTTGCTAGCATGATTTTCTTACTAAATTATTTTACAATATACTATTGAGAAATCTGATCTTCTTGCTTATTTTAAAACGTTAGAAATATTAACTTTTATATAGCGTTGCTTGTTAGGCGAGCGCCGACGTAGCGCTATTCTTTTGTTAGTCACTCGCGTGATAAGTTCGTGAAGTAACGGATTCTTCTACATTGTGCTTCATCTGTCTCGGCAAGACAGTGAAGAAGTTATTTTACTCGTGAACGGTATTGGATTATTGCGTTCTTACATATATATCGGCTTCTAATAAGATACATTTGATCTATGCCGAATATATATCGTTAAGTGTGTCGAGACTAGATAGATCAAATAATTCAGACCAGATAAGATCTGTGTGAGTTCATAAACCAAGCCTTTCTTCTCTTTAACACTTTCTTTGACTGTGTGATATTTCAGTTATTATAAAATTATTTCAGTTATTTATAAAATAATTATAATTATATACATTGAAGATGATGCAAAGAAAAAGAAAAAAAAGGTGTTCCTATAGGAACTATAGTGCTATCATTATTAACACAATTCTAAAATATAAAAAAGATAATAGATATTAATAGATTATAAAATAATGTCGAAAACTGCTTCAATTTAACAAAAAATTGCAAAAAAGTTGTTGGATCATGGACAAATTAAACCAACATCTTTATATACGTTTGTTACTTGTGACAGATACAATTTACGTAAATTATTAGGCATTAAAATATCTGAATCAGATTTGTGCAACAAAAAAAAATTCTTTTCTGCAATGTAAAATATATAAATATTCGTATGGTCTATGATACAAAATATCTTACATAATATTTAAAAAAAGAGAGAAAAAAAACTAAACATTTTTTTACAAATTTTAATAAAACGCATTATGTATGTTACAGAAAATCAGAAATATGAACATGATCAGCACGGCAGAGCCAAGCCAGGACAAAACATTACAAATTCCTTTTTACTTTGAAATGACACCGAAAGCTTATCAAAACGCCTTGCGTTCCAAAACAATGATGCCTTGCGATCCATTTTACCCTCATTGGGAGAACGCTCATACTCGAATAAGTGTCAAAGACGAAAGATTCAAGGA